TGCCTGCAAATATTCCCATGTCACTGCTGTCCTCCAGTACAAGCTAGGGCCAATTATAAGGCACTGCTTTTGAACTGTACACTAGTATAAGGCTCTATCTACTTTTTAGCCCCAGCTGGTAGTTCACATCTGCAGTATTCATGGTGTAAGGATTTTTTAGAAATAAACAGAAGGTGTAAGCTTTTTTTTTCATTATTAGAGTGTTGTTTTGTTTTTTAATGGGAGGACAAAACAACAGAGTGTATCAAAAAAGGAAAAAAATGGGGAAATAGTTCATTGTTTGAATTATTAATGAGTCAAACAGCCACTTCCTTTCATGGAGACTAGAGATTTAGCAGATAAAAACTTGAGTCTATAAATATGATAGAAGCTACGGGTGTTTTCCACCTGCAGCTTTAGATACATTTGGTCCCATTTGGGTCAGAGTAGAAGTGCAGTCGGACTCTAATGTGCACCCCGAAATAGTAAACCTGAAGAGGAGATCTCGGTTCGACTCCAGCCGAATTCTTGAGTGCACTAAATGTCACAATAGTGTGACCCAACGGCCAGGCTCAGCAAGTTTGAGCTAGAAGGGCTCCTGTAATCAATGAATGAAGAAAGAAGGAAACTTGTCATGGACAAACTTGGACCTCAGAATTAATACTGTGTCTGATAGTAATCTGGTCAGAAGATTTTATCATGAAGCAATTGTCCAGCAAACAGAAACAGCCACATAGAGGCTATTTTCAGCCAAATATGCAGAAAAAGGGGCTTTGTTTGGTCTACTGAGTTGTGTGCCATGAAAGGAAAAGCTATTACCTCACATATTGAAAACATATTGCTTTACAATATTATTTACTAAGAGCATAAATCACCTTGTTGGTCGTTAGTACCAGGGCCAGATGGGGATCTCACAGCGCCTGTTAAGGAGCATTAACCTGCATCTTCTCCTGAACATACATGCATCCATGTTATTTGTTATTTTTAAGCTGCAGCTGCGCTTCATTTTCAAACACTATTGTTTGCCAATAGTTGACATTAAAACCACTGAGAAAAAAAAGTGAAAGCTACTGATTACTGGCTCACCTCAGTCTCTATCGTGAAAGTTTACCTCTGTTACTTTTTCAGCACTTTTGGATTTCAACCAGTTGTCATGAAGACATAGTAACTGAAAAAGGAAACACTTTTTTTTTTTTTTTTACATTCTGGGCCGCACTACGGTGTGCACTTAAATTCTGAATCCTTATTAAAATAAAACTCCAGAAGAAAAAAAGTAAAAGAAATTGGTGCATGGGACATTTTCTTGCCAGTGCACATTATAATCAGACATTTATTTAGCATAATGTCTTAAATACAGGGGCCCCCATTGGCCCTCGTCTAGAACCACCCATGTCAAACACCCAAACCTCCACTCAAACTTTAAATGATTTCCTTATAATTTTCATTTATTTTATCCTTTTTTCCCTGGCTTGATTATATTATTTTGACATTTTTTATTCCTTTTATTAGAGGCATAATTTTATTATAATTATTATTGCTGTTGATGTTTGTATATTGTATTATTGTTATACTTTGAAAATCCTACCGGAAGTGAAGTCAAACAGTGTGTTTGGTGTGTGGTTGGAAAGGCGCTTTGGGGATCTCCTGTCATAGAAAAACAAGAGCCCGTCGAGGAGCCAAGTTGTTCTCTAGAATAAAAAACAAACAAAATCATTTTATCTATGGGGGCAAAGATACTGTTTGCTCCAGCTGATTGCGCTGTTTGTGTTTGCGCTCTGGGTGCGTCACTTAGGCGCGCGCGCATCCCAAACTTGTGGCTGACTGATAGTTGACATCGCTGCCCTGTCAGCTCTCATGGTGTGATGACACGTCTCACCTGAGGAAGTGAAATTATCTAGGTGATCACAAGACCGAAAAACATCGTTTGAAAACAGAAATGTTGTTATAATTGTGTAATAACGCTGTTCAATGTGCCCTCTCATTAAAGATCGGTCTGGGAGTTTTATCTTATCTATTTATTTGTTTTTATAAATATCATAGCAACAAGAGAACTCACTGCAGCCTTTCCATGACGTCTGGTTTAAAAAGAAATATGTGAGAAAGGGCAAAGCTTTTCCTCGGAAAATAGAAAATAATGAGGGCGTCACCAAACTTAAAGCTGTGACAGACAAACTGCTAGACCGCCAGAAATATCTGCAACATGTAGAAACGTGATTACAAAAACACAGAATACCAAAAAACTAAAAATCAGTTACATTTTTTTTTTAATGAGTCAGGTCCTGTAATACTAAGCCCTGGTCAGCAGGGGGAGCCACACCAGTCCATTATACAACAGTAACTTGCAGAAAACTGTGAAGTTGAAGGAATACTTTGATCAATAATAGTTATATGTGTTTGTAAGCCCCGCCCACTTTGGTGTTTTATTCATAATAAAAACTGCAAGGTACCAAATGCTATCCAAGGGGATGGGTTAAATGCAGAGCTAAAGTTCCCCAATGTGAGACCAATAAAGTTCAATTGTTTATTCATTAATTTGAATGAGCTTCACAGCTGAGCAGTCAAAAAGGAGTGAATGCAGAACTAGTTTCCCGGGGAATCTCCTTTCACATCCCTCCGACTTCTTCTGCATGCCAGTGTGAAACTCTCATTCATCTTAATGCAATAATCTCCCATCCTACCCTTCTGCAGCCCTCCTAGTACTTTATCAATCCCATCATTTCTAAGCATCTGCTATAACCCTTTGGAGCTTAATTTCCATTATATAGCACATATCTATAGGGCTGGATCTGACATTAATGGCAGCTTTAGCTCTTTTTGCCTTTCCCACATTAAAAATGCTTCAAATTAAGATGGATATTATACAGGTAATAAAATACAAAACATGTAAACAATTCTTTCTAATCTCATCAGCAAACAGGGAAGCTAGACTAATGTGACAGACGCACTAACTTTATGTTGCCTATCTCATATCTGGGCCTAAATAGAAAAGAAAACTATAAGACTTGTTCTTATGAATTCTTTTACATCTTTATTAATTTTAAAATCATTTTAAAAAGACATTTTGTAATTTTTTTTTATTGAAAAACATCTTTAAAGTATCATTTTTATCTGACCATTTACAACTAAAACACGGTTTGATGAGCACACTGACACTTCAGTAGTTCAATACTGATGCACCTATGACTCCGTAGCCTACATGATAATTGATTCATTGTTTTTATTATATATATTCTAACACTGTGAGATCAATAAAAAAAATGAATTAAGCAATTTTTTGTTTTTTTTAATATAATAATATCACTATACGGGGTTATAGCGCAGGGTGCTTACATTGCTATTTATATAGAGGGATATTTATATTTATATATATAGTTATTGCACTGGGTGTGAAACAGAGAAACAGGTTAATGGCTCTTTAATTATTTAACAAGGCCAGTTTTTCCTTAATTTTATGATTCATACATTTATTGTGTTTATTAAGAGAACTGAAACATTGCAGTGCAATTACTCGGTGGTCTCTGAATCTAGGATTTTATTCTTGTTTAAATGCAAGGTTTCTCTGATGCCTTAAAGAAAAAATTATTTGTATTCTTTAACTACCAGAGAAGACATTTAATAATTTTCATGAGTTTAAAAGAATAAATACCCTACCATTCCTGATTTTGACCTGGAGTATAAGAGTAAGGATTTAATGCTGGATACTAAATCTGATGAGAACGGAACAAACAAACAAAAAGTTAAAAGTTGGTTTCAAAATATATTTTCTCAGTGTTCAGATTGTTCTAAGCACTACCCACCCCTATTTATTTTTTTCCTCCTTTTCTTTAAGCCCTTATCACTCCTTTACAGAAAACCACCCGGTTGGTGAGCCATATCGCCCTTTGCCAAAAAGCGAACCACTTAGTATAAGGGAATTATGATGTTTTACAGATGTTTTATCAAGCAGTCTATTTCTGGCCAGGGGCGGAGCTAGATGGGGGGCCAGGGGTGGCCATGGCCACCCTTAGCCAATCTAATACAGATGGTGGAAGCAGTAATGCTCTCAATGGAATATTCAAAGCATTTACATTTTTCATATGAACAATTCATTGACAACAAAAACCCTCTGGTTAATTATGCGCATCAATATAGAAACATTAAAGATGATAAGTACAGAATTCATGCTCTTTTCAGAAGAAGACTTTGTGTTTTATGGGGTAAAGAGAAAATTATGTGTCTCTGCAGGTCATCTAAGAGTCTTCAGTAAAATTATTGATAAATAACTATTTTAATAAAACTAATTAAATAATCAATTTATGTAGATATTAGTACTTGTAAATATCAATTTTATGCAGAATGATTATTGACAAAAGTAGGTAAGTAATGACGATGAAAAATATGTGTCCCCCAGAACTCAAACTTTAAAGAATTGTATCCATTATACCTTTTATCTAGAAATTACAGATGTTTAAATATTTATGCGTCTATTTGTCAGCAAAGGTTGTAGGAAAGTATAGTTTATCTTTATTTTGAAAATATGGATGTTGTGCCCATTAATTTTATTGCTGTAGATTGACCCTAAGATCAACTTTCAGCCACCCCTCAGTGTACATTGGTTATTGCCTGGCCACCCTTATAAAAATGTTCTGGCTACGCCTCTGTTTCTGGCAGCAGAATGATTTATTGACTGTGGGAAACCTGCGAACAGGTTTTTGCACTTCAGTAACAACAAAACAGGGCAGGTTGCCAGACAAGAATCCACACCCAGCAATCTGTGCGAAAAGCTCCCAGCTCAATGAAACTGGAGAGTTTAAAACAGCTGCCAGATCCCCTCCATGCATTCTCTGTTTACTATCAGCTGGTTTCTAAGTTAAATGTTATTGACTCACATGGTGAAACTATAGAGATGTGGGGCTGTGTTTTCTAACCCGTTATTTTGCTCCTATTTGAAACCATAATTTGCTGTGTGAGTAAGAAACACGGAAATGGAGATGAGTGCGATGTAGGGGGAGGACCTTCTTTGTGTGGAACAGTTTGCGCTCAGTCCGCATCAGACGCGCAACTCTGACAGGCTGCTGCTCTGACGCGCTCCAGCTCATGCGGGAATATTAACCTCTAATTATTACTCTTTATTTCCCCTTAGATCCTCTCAGCTCAGGGTTTGTTTGTGTTTTTGCAGCATCACTGCAGCTGACTGAAGGAGTGGAGGGATCTCTCCTCCTACCTCACCAGATAAGATGGCAAAAACAACGTTTCAAACCTCTGCCTTGATTCAAAAGTGGTGACAAGTTGACTTCACACACGGATGTGAGCCGGAAAAGACTAACAGGACGTTTTTTTTTTTTTTTTCAAGGGAAGGATTACATTTTTTTCTCCTTTTTTATTTTCCTGTCCAGCGATGAGCCAGGCTCCTACAGTGGGCCCCTGAACCCGGACAGACACAGTTTTCTTTTTTGCTCAAACTAAACTCCAAAGGAGGGATTAAGATTAACACCGCTGGTTCTGTGCAGATTAACGCAGGGATGACAGTGAAGCTGGACTTTGAGGAGTGTCTGAAAGACTCTCCTCGCTTCAGGTGAGATCAACTAAAGCTATAACATTGAGGAGACACAACTGAAGCTTAACTTTAAGAGCTAAATTCAATCTATTAGGGAGTCCATCTGAATTAAATGTGGTGTTAAGGATGTGTGTACTGATTTTAAGTAGGCCTGTTTCATTAAAAAAATATAATATATTATAATCTAGATTGCTAAAATGAAGTTTTTACATTTTAAGCATCAATTTCTGTTCACTTAGTCTATTACAGCTTATGACCTCCACCAGGGGCGGAGCTAGATGGGGGGCCAGAGGTGGCCCTTAGCCAATCATTGGCAACCCCCACCATTTTTTCCGCCTTTAATACAGACGTTGGCAGCAGGGGAAAGTTCAAACTTATTAAACATTTAAATTTTTCATTTATTAGCAATTACTTAACAACTAAAACACTGTGGTTAATTATACACATCAAAATACTAACATTAAAATTGATATATACAGAAGTCATGTTCTCTTCTCCACTAACCTTTGTGTTTTATGGGGTAAAGAGAAAATTATGTGTCTCTGCAAGTCATCTAGGAGTCTTCACTGAAATCATAGATACATAACTACTTTAATAATAACTTAATGTAGATATTAGTCCATGTAAATATTAATTTTATGCAGAGCAATTTTTGATAATAGCAGGTAAGTAATGACAATGGAAAAGATGATTTTGTCCACTAAACATTTTATTTAGACGGAATGGATGTTTAAATATATGCATCTATTTGTTAGCAAAGGCTGTAGGAAAGTATAGTTAGTCATATTTAAAAAAATATGGATGTTTATGCATGTGCGTCCAGTTTAGATTGAGCCTGAGGTTCTGGTGCCTATCCGTTTTCCGCCACCCCTCAGTGTACAGTGTTTTTGACTGGCCACCCATATTAAAATTTTCTAGCTACGCCTCTGCCCCCCACATGTGATCTCAAAGCAGAATTTAGAATAGAATAGAAAATCTCTTCATTGTCTCACAAAGGGGAAATTCTTGTGTTACAGCAGAACAAAAAAACATTATAGAAAAAATTTTCACACAAATGTGGACCTTAGAAAAGTGTATAAAATAACATAATAGTGAAGATTAAAATAAACAAAACAATATAAAATACTGTAGTGTAAAGTGTTTTAACAATATAACTACTGGGCACCTGGAGAATAAATAACCAATATATGGCTGTGGATATTTTTGCATAAATGGATATTTTAAAACAGCAGCAACATCAGAGATGTGCAAAATGACTGACAATTTGCTTAAGAACAATGCTGACTTTCTCAAAAAAAAGTCTTATGTTTCCGTCTTGCAAATACGTTCGATACTTGGTTGTGGCTCCTTTTGCACAAATGTCTGCATTAATGCAGCATGGCATCGAGGAGATCTGCTGAGGTGTAAAGGAAGTTGTCATAGATTTAGTTCTGGGTTGAGGTCTGACCAATTTTCCGAGCGGTTTATTGGTCATTGGGGCAAGAAAGCAGTATTTCCACAAGACCTGTCACTAAAAGCAGACACATGTTTGTCTTAGGTTTCCTAGACAGTGGTTTGAATTCAGGTTTGATCATATATAATGGATCAGTGCTCTGCAAATCATTACAAACGTTCAGTTTAACACCAAGCATTTCACAACTTCTGTCTACCTCTCCATTGCTTCTTCATACTCTGGAGCAGTGGTGTCATCTCAGGTGTAGGCATATAACACATGGATGAAACAGTTGTTGCCCATCCATGTTTGGTGACTTGTAACCATGGATTCCGGATGAAGTCCAAACCTTGAGAATCTCCTGTAAACTAGATTTAACTTTGATTCACAATCCTCTGAAGACTGCGTTTATCCCTTTGCCCCTTTATCTAAGTGTGCTAGAGATTAGACTCCCCCGTAGGAGAAATTAACAGAAACTAGCTCCGTAACCTGACCTTTTTATTTTTAGTTTCTCTAAATCAAGCATCCCCAAAGTCAGTCCTGGAGGGCCACCGTCCTGCAGGTTTTAGAGGTTTCTCTGCTCCAGCACAGCTGATTTACATTGATAGTTGATTAACAGGCCTTTGCTGAACTGCAGTCATCAGAATCAGCTGTGCTAAAGCAGAGAAACCTCTAAAACCTGCAGGACAGCGGCCCTCGAGGACCGAGTTTGGGGATGCCTGCTCTTAATCAACACATCAAAAATGTTACTTTAAAGTGTGTGTTTTTTTTTCTTAATGAATTTAACTGCAAAGTAAAGCTTTGAGTGTAATATTCTATGTGCGAAGTCATGGTTTTGCTGGGGGCCCCCTGCTGGCCTGGAGGATCTCAGTAAAATCTTTAGTTGCTTATGTTTGGGCGGGCTATGTGCATAGGTTTGGTGCAAGATATAAGATAAAAAATGTTCTTTCCCCATATGAGTTCAATTAAGCCGTTCCACGTGGATACCATACGAGAGCCTTATTATGAGGCAAGAGCATGAAGACTCATCCAGCTAGCTGAGGAAAAATAAAAACAATATTGGGTCCCAGAGGTATAAGTTGTCATATTTTTATTATGCCACTTTTGGAGTCAACACCAATGAATACCACAGAAAGATGGGGATTATGAAAGTAGAGACAGAGTTCACAGATGCATATGAACTAAAAGTATTTCTGCACCCATGCGGTACTCCCAGACTTACATCCAGCCTGGATCAATCTATCTTTATGTAGTTTCCGTAAGGAGTTGACACCGCAGGTCTAAGAAATGCTGGCAATTATTTTTCTTTCAACATCAGCAGCTGGTGTAACCTGGAGGGAAGTGTCACTAAGCTGGTTTTGCAAAAAGGCTAGAGAAAGCAGGGTGTGCCCCCACAGTTCCTGGCACCCTGCCTGATTCGCTTCTTCCCCAGCAAATTTACACCCTCCATCCGTCTTGCCCTCTTTTATTTTGCCCTCTCCTCGTGCCTCTGTTGCCCATGTTGTTTTTACGCGGTGGAAAGTTTGAGCCTCAGCAACCCTTCTGAGCTGTTTTCTCATGTTAGGCGGAGGGGAATATTGGGGGTGAGGTTTTGGTGTTGCTGAAACGTATCATTATGATGGATAAAACATGGAGAAATTTAAAAAAAGAATGTGACAGCTCCTGGTCAACCGTTCAGATGAGTTGTTGCCAGGTAACCGGAGGGGTGGGGGGCAGCAGGAAGTGAGGCGAGATGTGCTGCATTGATCAACAGCAGGCAGGAAGTGAGTTCTCTGTGCGGAGAACCACGACGGAAACTCAGCCTCAGCGCTGTCTGAGTTTGCTCTCTTTGCTGCCTTTCAGAAGAGGTGAAGCGGTGAAAGATGTACATCGGCTGAAGGAATATAACACCTCTGGTACCTCGTGTTTAATTCAATTTCTTTCCCCTTCATTGATGTGTTGTTTAGTTGTATTATAAAAAGGGCCTGACCTAAGACTCTTTGCACTCACAAACACAAGCATATATTGTCTGTCCCAGCTCTCCTCTCTTCTCACCCCACTCAGTCTCATCTCTCTGTGTAAGTGTGTGTGTGTGTGTTTTTCTGCTTGCTGTACTGTTGGTGGAAGGCAGCGGAAACCACATGCTTGAGCTGCTGGCAAGAAATGAGAAGACAGACAAAAAGAGACACTGACTAATGCTCCAAAACCCTCTGAAAACTCGCTTAGTACCATGACCTGTGTGCATATTTGCGGCAGAAAGTTTGACAAGGCCTCAAACATGTGCTTTTCAGTCAAATTGAAACATATTTTCCCCTTCTGGATGTTATACTTTGTATTTAAACAAGCATAAACTGAACAGCGTGTCCAAAACTTTTCTCATATCCAATGGAATGCATCTAAGATAATGCAGAAGGTCAGCAAAGTTTCTAAAAATACCAAAGACGTCATAAGTTTCTTTGATGTGTTGGATGTAAAGATGCCTTGTAATTAGGGTTCTGGAATGCTGCTGTACCAAATGCAAGATTTTACTGTTTTAATAGGTGTTTTTTTTGCTAAAAAAGTAACAAAAATGGAGGAATCTCAAAATAAGATTGAACTTAGCTGCAAGGAAGTGTTTAAAAAAATATTGTATAAGGTTTTTATGTTAGATTTTTGGCAGAAATCGTGATGTTTTTGCATATTCATAAAGGGTGCTCTGGGTGGAATTATTTAGAACTAATTCATCCCCTTTTTTTAAACACAGTGTACTAGAACCAAAAACAATAAACAATTATACAATTATATGTAATTCTAATAAATAAACACATTAAAAAACAAATATTTTAAAATTCCACCCATCAAGTGCACAGTATTTTGAATTGGAGTCGTCATTATATCAGTGTGCATTGCCTCATTGCCATGATTGGTAAAGTATGGTATTTTAAATGCTATGCTTTAAAGCTTTATAATGAGGTATGTGTTATTTTATATATATAAAAAAAAAAAAACATACCATTATTGGGTAATAACTCTGCTATTACCTATTAAGCCTTAAAAGAGGAACGTCAATGTTTTGAGCGAGCAATCGGAAGATTTTATCCCCACCTGTCATGTTTAATAGTTTGTGAGTAAACCAAGTTCAGACTGCAATATGTGGAAACTTGTGATGAAATTAATTGAAGCTACAATTAAAAACAGAAGGAACAATCCTGGGAACATTGGCAGTGAAACAAGCAAAGGCGTTAATGAAAGAAACTAACAAGGAGCAAAAACCAGGGAGCTTCTATACGGAGGGATGTGTGAATGCTGACAAAGAATGCATCTGTTAATCAGGTGATATGTGAAGCAACTGAGGCAGAAGGTAATTAACCATACTAAGGGTTCAATTAGTTAAAATAGAAGTAGCTGAACTAAGAACCGATTTAAATGAGGGGGATGATTAACTGAGAGTTAACAAATATCATTTTAAATTCATAAAGGGCAAAACGCAAGAATGAACTTAGAAATGAAACCCACACAAACATAAAGAGCAGCAAAATGACAAAAAAAGGACTCCAAAGAAACCTAAACAAGTATTACATAGCAAATATTAAATATTTTTCCTCCTTAGGGTCTGCATTTTCCTTTACTCTCTTTTCATTTTATGTGTAATCATATAAGCCATTGTATAGTATTTCAAATATGAATAGCCTTTGTTATAGTTTGGATATCATCAGAAAGTGTCTGTAGGTGTTTTTGTTAGGAGTTCTCATGTCGCAGCAACTTGTTGAAAACCAGGTAATTTTTAAAAAATGCTGAGAATGCCCACTAATTAAAATTCTCAGTATTTTCATTGGGTTTCTCGGAAGAAGATGTGCTTTAAAAATAAATTTTTATTCAATTCTCAGAGGCATTTATAGCTAATTTGTTAAATATTCACAAGAAAATCAAAAGTCATTCAATAACCTGCAGTTTTCATTATAAAGCCAGAGTAAAACTTAACCCTCTCTTATAAACAGACAAAATTAAAGATGCTTGTCAAATATTTAAAATGCTTTTAGTAGATAAATATATACATAGAAATGTTGCATGGAGGTTAGGTGTAGGAAGTGCAAATCTATAAAAGCAGGTGTTGGTCAGCAGGGGTGTTTGTGGGATCATATGTGTCTGAGAATGGCCATGTAGAGACAATGTAAGGTAGAATTCCCATGCTACATTATGGACATTTACAGGTACCTATGGTGACAGCCGTTTGGCTGTAAATCTATCTGTAGATGCTTCAGATCTTATTTGTTTGTAGCCACATTATTAGGACTAAAACATAAACATATATATTCTATAAATGTGATGTCTAGCAACAGTTTTTAAGTTTGACCATGGGAATTTGGGTTTATTAATCTTTTTATTAATTTGAATGAAAAAAGATGTGCCAAACAATTACATATGTGAAAGTGTGTTTCAGTTAAACTTAGACACTTAAACAAACTTTATTGTAATGTATAAATAGAGTGTATACAAAACGAAATTTCATCTTGTATAGCTCTAATGACGTCTCCAATTCTAGGGCTCTTTCTGCTCGCTGGCGTCAAGGGCCACCATACATACATATTGGGGGGAAAAAAGAAATTTACCTCTGCATTTAACCAATCCCCTTGGGGCTGCCATTGTGGGGCATTCAGGATTTAAGGATCTTGCTCAGAGAGCCAAAATGGTAGTCGGTTTTGAACACACAGCCTAAGGATTCCAATCTCTATACCCTAACCATTTGGCCACCACTCTCTAAAAGTTACCTCCTTTGAGCCGGATTCAAACCAGCAACCTAAGGATCTCCGAAGTCATACCCTACAGTCCTCCGCTCTACCAACTGAGGAATCAAAGGGGCCATAGAGCTACCGTAGGGGCCTTGGAACATATGTAGGCGTGAAAGTGTTAAATTAAATGTGCAAAAGTTTACAGCTATGAATAAAATGTGTAAAGTGGTTGGACTTCAACATACAAAAAATTTGGTCTGTTTGTCCGTTTCAGAGCTGAAATCGAAGTTGTCCAAAATGACGTGAGTGAGCTCGAGACTCGCCTGGAAAAGGTAAGGCTGACCTTTATCACCTATTCCACATCCAGTCAGGTATATCAGCTGTTAGGGGAAAAGCTCCCTTTGGGGAAGGAGGAGTGAGAAGTGTTGGTCAGGGGTTTGGGGACAGCTTTACCTGAAGCCAGCAGGAAGTAGCTGCAGGTACTGCTTCCCCTTCATATTACCCTCTCGGTGACAGAGAACAACACTTTGTTCTGCTTCAATTCGTCTTCCCTGCTTTACAAATACGTTACGGTTTCAGATGTATTCAGCTGATAAGCTAATAGACCAAATGCAGTGTTTCTGTTCCCCTGATCATACCTAATACACACGGAATGAAATGCCACACTGCAAAAAATAGGTCAATTTTTCTTAAAATATCAGCATTTTTCTCTTGAATTAAGCAGGTAAGTGAGACACTTTGCCAATGGAATAAGAAAATTTACATCCAAAATAAGAAAAAACTATTGCATCGTGTTATTTTTAGTGCATAATATCAAATCATCTTATTTTAAGAAAAAAATACTCATTCTTTTGGCCGATCGTCTTATTTACCTACTCAAAATAAGGGCAAATGCACTTATTTTAAGAAATGTTGACTTTTATATGCATTTGTAGTTTATTCCATTGTAGGCCAGAGAAAATTCACTTTCTACATTTATCTGAATAAGAACCACAACATCTTATTATTCAGACTCTATAAAATGGATAGGAGCAGTTTGATTTATGAAACCACATGAGCAAAAATTAAAAAAAAGAAAAGCAAAATGAGATGAAAAAACGGTTATCTGGCTTGTGCAACTCAGTTTGAAATTTGACCTGCCTGTCAAAGAAAGGAAACAGACAAACATTTTTTTTTCCGGCGAGATCAGATGGATTTTTTTTTTTTGTCACTTCTCTCTTTTACTCAAGATGTGTTTTAACATGCCCGACATGAGCAGAGATTAAAAGCATTTGTCAGATAAAAGTTTTTCTCATGGACAAAGATTTTTCTGTTTTAAACCACCTATTCTTCCAAAACACCAAACCTCTGATTAGTTTCACAAGTTATATATTACTAAGTTTAAAATATGCAAAACTAGAGATATATAGATTAGACCTTGCCAGTGCAGATTTCCTGCTTTTTTCAGTATTTAACCTGTAGATGATCAATCAGAGCTGATCACAGTTAACTGTGTGGTGCTAATGGCCAGATCTTTGCCCAATATCTTTATATAATCATATATTTTATAATTATACAGGATGAGCTTATCGCTGCGGGGATTTTATTTACTTCCTAATTTCTTTGTTTTTGGTAACAGATCACTTTTAATTAACTGCAACTCACTACAGTTGTGCTCCTTAAAGATACCAAAAATATAATATATTGTGATGTGCTTTCTAGTTAGTTTTACCACTCTGCTGCTAATGCGCCAAATGAAGGGCAGATTTTACCGAGCAGAATAAAACAGCTATGCACATGCACAGGATTGTTTTGTGTTAATGTTATGGAGAAAAAACAAAACTAAAAGAAGCACCAAGAAGAAAGTCCATATCATCAAAGAGTCAAGAAAAAAAGCAGATCATCCCCATCGTATTGTTGCAAAGGGATGCAATCGCCATGCAAGTACACAAATTCACAGCAAATTCAAAAAGCACTGCACAAAATGAGAATAGATTACAAAAAAACCCCAATAAAACTCAAACATTAGCCTAGCAAACACAAAAATGAGAAAAAAACATCATGTCTGATGCTTTCCCAAAATCCTACAGTTAACTTTTTTGTTGCAACCTATTGCAAAATAGTTTTTCAACAGGAAACAGTTTTGCTGTAGAAAAAGGTCTTAAAACTTTTTTCATTGTTCTAAATCTGGTGGAAGGCATGTTGGACAAAGAATAGTGACTTTGGTCCATAAATGGAATACAAATAGATTGAATCTATGTGTCAAAAGTTTAAGAATTGAACTTTTTATTTATCGGTATGGATGTTGTGATACAATTTTTATTACAATTCCGATACAATACCATTATTGACCTTGTATGATATCAGCATGAATCCTACAATTTCTATTACTTATTTTTTACTGTGGAATGATGGAAAAGACTTGATCAAATTATATCTCTAAAACAGACAAAAATATTCAACATTACAAACAAAAGTGGGTAGAGTTGGAGTATTTATACGAGCTTTGTAATGTCAGAGAATTTAGTTACAATATAGAAACAAGCTGATATATTTCATTATTAACTTTTTGGGCTGATATCGGACTGATCTTCGATATGAATATCGGATCGGGAGATCTCTATTCATCAAATGTAAATTGTTGACACTTTTGTAGGTGTTTTATGCTTGTTCCGGGGGAGTGGTGGCCAAGTGGTTTGGGCATAGAGCCTGGAATCCTGAGGTTGTGAGTTTGAAACCCACTCTTACAGACTGCCACTCTGGGTCCCTGATTAAAGACCCCTAACCCCACACTGCTCCCCGGGCGCCTGGAAGCCCACTGCTCCCAAAGGGGATTGGTTTAAATAGAGAGATGAATTTCGTTGCGCTGTACTTGTGACAGTGTAATGACAACAAAACACTGGAGAAAAAAAAAGTAATCGTTTAGATGTTTACCTGTGAATTGTCTTCATCAAAAAGTGTTTCTAAACAGTATTACCAAATGTACTTTAAACAAAAAATAATGTGCAACATAATATATTGACCTTTCATCGTTTATGTTTATTGCTTTAAGTCTTATCTAACTTCAAATGAACAAGAAACATGCAGTGACTTTAAGTAAAGTACAGACTTGGATGAGTCAATTTATTAAAGTTAGCAAAATAAAGCAAGAGTGAGGGATATTCTTCTTACTATGTTCTTGTTTGCTGTGTTTTTCTTTTTAAGCAGACAAACCGGCAAAACTTTTACATTTCAAATCTACAAGATTTTTATCCCTTTGCTAGTTTCATTGAGAAACTTTGCTAGTTTCATTGAGATAATGTCTGATTAATTAATTGTTGAGCAAGAGAATATCTACGATCAATAAAATTTTGATATGATAAATATGATTAAATTCTAAATTTTGACCCAAAGTACTTTCTACATTCTTTTTACCTCTGCGGCAAGATGTGTGGACACCATTGCACTAAGAAGAAGAAGTGATTGTTCCTGCTGCTGCACAAATAACAGCATATATTAGCATACCTAGGTAAAATATAAATTTAGCACTTTGAAGTCAGCAGTCTTTTAAAATTTTACTCTATGGAGCAACACAGTAACTAGACGTCTGTGTTTTCATTGGTTGACAATATGGTTGGCTAATCAACATAAATACTTACTGTATCACCTGGAGAATTGAAGAGAGAATTGAATTTATCTTTTTTGCGTAGTGCAGGAGTGGGTTCAGGGATGTCTTTGAGATTTTTAACTACAATGGCTTTTCTAGCTTACCGGTATCATAGTTTTCACACTTTTCTACTTATGGTTTCTCATACTCTCCATTGTTCAGTTATGTCCACCACGGGCACTGTTAAACAATAACAGTGGTGAAAACAATGTTCAATAAAATCAATGTTGAAACATCTCATTTCATGGCAGAAGAAGGGTTATTTTCATCATTTTATTTAGTTTGCAGTACTTAGATGTTTTGTTGATATAATTATTACAGTATTTTTTAAATACTTTGTTTAATTTTTACCTCCAACTTCATGGCTTAGAACCTCATCTTTCTCTCAACTGCCAGTAGAAAATGTGTTCTGTTCATTTTTACATGCACACAACCAAATCGCTTTGCACATTTTAACATTTGTGCGGCAATATTTGTAGATCACCTGCAACACGGCCAATTATTTCCCGTAATAAAAAGGAATTGCTCACACAATTTTAGCGTCCCTTACTTTAAATATTTGAAGATCGGACCCTCGATGTAAATAGCTGCTATAATGAATGCAGAAGTCTGGTACGGTTGTGTTACCACAACTTCCAGACTTGGAATTCCGACTTTCAGAGCCATTTTAGTTGGAATATTATGGCTTTAAAGACGATTAAAATGCACCATGATATATAACTTTAGTTGTTTCAGAACCACATGGTTTTGATACCAGCATCCCCTACCAGTATTACTTGACCGCAGTCTCACCCATTATCTACACCAGGGGTCACCAACTTTGTACTCGCTTGGGTCATAAAGGGGCCCTGAAGGACCGCATGGGGTGCCCTCAGCATCTTCTTAAAACAGAGCAACTCACCAGCAGACAATGTTGGAATTTCTATTCTAAGCTGCTGTTCTTATTTTTTGTCATTTGTAGAGCATTTCATCATATCAATCATTTAGAACATTTAAGCATTTATAGGAATGTATAAAGACAAGACGTAAAAGCAAATTAGAAATTTAAAGAAACAATAGAAATATGTTTATCAATGCAGTTTAGTTGAATGCTGACTCCTCCAGGTTATAGGTCAGTATTGGTAGCCCATCCTATGACTCAGTACCTATTAAGTAGCCCTGAGTCTTTAAAAAAACAACAAACGCACAAAATCTCAATAAAATGTGTTTAGAACAACAACAAAAAGCACCCATTAATATATTTTCAATATAATGAGGTTGTAAAATGTGTTGCACCCAATGCTACAAAGATATGTGTTAATTTGTAAAACAAGCTTAACATTTTTTAAGTTGTCTAAGAGCCTGAATTTGTAAATAAAACAGTTTTAAATCAGTTAATAGCATCTAGAGCTTACATATGTGAGAACCTGAAATTGGTTTTCGTTGAGCCATTCACACTATAATCACTTAAGTTGCTTTGTTTGTGTCTTTTAGCTTGTGAAACAATGCCAGGCCATGCTGGAGGCCGGTAGAGTCTACTGTCAGACCAGTAAGAGCTTCGTCAATGGTTTACGGGAGCTCGGACACCAGTGGTCAAAGGACAGCACCATCGAGGTGACAAAAGACAAGCTGACTTAAGCTTAATCAGTTAGTTATTCTCTCATGTAAATGATATACAATGCAACATGTTTTGCTTTAAATTTATTGAAAAGTACGTTTTTATTCATTGCAAATGTTTATTGGTAGAATACTGCAGCACTTTTTAGGTATAGAGCTATAATAAGTCAGTTTGGTAAAAAAGACATTTGAATATTTAAAGTTAATATTTGCAAAAAACAACAACAATAAAACTAATTTGAGGTGTCTGTCTTCAGGACTGCTTGGACAAATTTTCCAAAAAGCTGTCTGCCATCTTGGATGCACAGGGGGTGAGTCTGGAAGCCAGTCTGTCAGTTTCTGCTTGCATAACTTCTTCATTCCAGTCATGGTGGTTATCAGCTGTAGTATGTGGTCAAGCAAGCAGACATGCATCTCACTGTCAAAAATATCTCATTAGACCTTTAACTGTGCGCTGTACTAACTAAGCTGGATTCTGTTTCTTTTTTTTTTTTTCTCATTTTCTTTTTAGGAAGTGATTGAGACGATTCAGAAGTCAGTGAAGACAAAGCTGCAGACCTTCGTGAAGGAGTGAGTAAGCCGCTTTACGCCACCTACCTTGGGGCTGAAATGTTGGACTTAATTCCCAACAACATTTCTGTCGCAACAACAACAACAACAACAGTGCAATCTTTGCAATTAGCCAACATGTGAACCCTGAGACTTATTCTTGCTCTCTGCTTCTATCAGCGGAAGATAAAATGGTGCAATACATTATGTGATAAATGAGTTTAGATTGTTAGCTTATTGATTTCTTTATATAGATTATTGAGAATATTGACACAAATTCATTAAAAACATTATTATTTACTTAAAAGCCATATTTATTTTGTATTATACAACACCACATATGACAAAAGTAGATTTAGCTAATATCAGTTTATTATAACAGAAAATTAAATCTATGAAGCTGACGGGTATTTATTGGTGTTTTCAGTCAAAATTTAGAAGAATTAGTAACAACATCAGCATTTTCTTGTTTGAAATAAAACAAGATAGCTCAGACTGAAACACATAAATATGCTGTGATGTAAGCAATCTGGATGCATGGTTAGAGTTGAAAGGTGAACCTCCACCTACGTCTCCAGTCTTGTGCGGGTTTCCTCCCTGCATTGTCCTGTTTAACTCCCTTGCACTCTGATATGCAGTGGTAGTTTTCCACAGCACTCAACATTTTGCACGTAACCAAAAATATAAGTTTTCCTTTCAACCGAGAATAATGCAACACTTCATGGTGGTCTTTCTAAATAAAATTCCAACGAAATATATAAAAGTTTGTATATTTTTTACATTATTCTTACAGCATTATGAATAATTGTCCATTCTGTCTGTTTTTTAGTTCAAAATGTTTTTGTAAATACAGCAAAATACCTGATATTTTCCCTGAAATGCTGTTAGAATCCTTGATCAGCTCATAATTGCTCTTCGTTGTTAAGATAGAACTTAGAGGAACTACAGAAAACGAATTCCAGCTTAATGGTTGTTTTCTCTCACACAGAGATGTTCGTAGGTTTAAGGATGTCCGAAAAGAGTTTGAACGCTGTAGCGAGACTCTGGAGGGGGCGCTGGCCAGAAACGCCCAAGCTCCACGAGGGAAGCAGCACGAAGTGGAGGAAGCAACTAACGCTCTGCTCGGCGCACGCAAGGCCTTCCGGTCAGGGGCTTTAGACTATGTGCTGGAGGTGAGGAAGGCCATGCAGAAAAAAATCAAATAAGCGCCACTTAAGTCTTTTAATATTTTAATACATGCTAATTTTATTCCTTATTTTTAGATTTTAAAGGTAGCCTGAATGAAATAAGCAACAGCACATTTGATTGTAGTTTTGACTGCTAACTGTGTTTATATTTTCTGCAGGTTGTGGCTCACAGTTAGTCAGTGAGCTACCTATGCTGATGCAAATATGTGTAACCACAGCGTCCTTTTGTTTCAGATTAACGTCATTGAAGCCAAAAAGAAGTCAGATATTTTGTCGGCCGTGAGTTCATAGTATCTTTTTTGCTTTCTATTTTTATGTATATTTGTTTTTTTATTTGAAACATCTAATTGTAAAAAATGTTTAATGCCTTTAGATGCTGGCCCTCATGGACGTCCAGTCTCAGTTCTTTAAACAAGGCCATCAATCTCTGTCAGAGCTGGATCAATATTGCCAAAAACTGAGTGAAGAGGTAAACATTGGATCCTTATAACTACTGTAATATGTTTGCTTTGACCTGAGTTCTCAATCTGAATCAGAAAAAGTAAAGTTTCTAGGTTTTTTTTGTGTACAGTTGATTAAAATGAGGTTTGAAAATCCTCCTGAGCATTTATGAAAATCAATTAACTAGAAGACAGAATAAAATGAGATGCATGTGAAAGGGGTTGTTTATTGGTGTATAGAAATAAACTGGGGTAAAAGGGGAATGGGGGGAAATGACTACAGTATGATACGCTAAAATAATAAACCACAAAAGAGACATTTCTTTGACAATGCTGCCTGATCAAAAGGTCTGGATGTTGTTGATGCTCCCTCAAAGGTTTGAACATGTTATTATTTCTTAGGTGAAACAGCTAATTTAAAAAAAGGAAATCATAGACATTATAAACCCCATGGAGGCTGGAAAGTTGGGGATTTATCAAATGACCCAGTAGATTCCCCAGCTCTGGATATGGCATGAAACCCTGTTTCTGTATGAAAAACAACCTGGTAGCCTTGGTGAGAGAGAGACCACAACGCTGACTGGGTAAACCCAACAGGGGTGGGGTCAGAGTCACAAGATGACATCACACTTTGATCGTGACAGGAAAAAGTGAGCAACAACAGGAAATATTTCACATGTCTGCGAGACTCTATCTCTCTCTGTCAGTGTGCTCCAGCTTTAATATTTCTGGGGAAACTGGAAGCAGCATTTCTCCTCCGTCAACATTGAAAATGTCTTTTAATGAGATACATTTAAACCAAGAAACAAAGTATGAACTTAGCTGAATTAGACGGCAGAAATGTCCTTCCTGTTACAACAGTTATCTGTAAAATCCAGGCCACGTGTTTATTTAGCTATTTTTTTTATTAGACTTCAAATAAGTTTACTATTTTCCACTTCCTGTTTTCAAAGAAGCCCAAAGGAGGGGCATCCCACCTCTTAGTATCATGTGTCTCTGTTTGTCTAAGAGCCAAGCACATCTGAAATGAAAATAAAAGGACGTTAGGATTTATGCCTTGTTTCAATGCTTGCCTGTGTATGTGGTTTAACCAGTTCCTTATTGACTGGTTTGGTCTTGCTTGTGCTTTCACTGTTACACATATATTCATGATTTGAACTTAAATTATTAACCTCTTCCTTTGATTTTGTTTTGGTTTATGTTTTCCAGTAAACTCTTTTGAAGAAATTTTTTTTTCTACTTTTTTCTTATCCTGATATCCTTCAATAAATAACAATAGCCAGTCCACCTGTGTGGGATTTGCTCTCTAAACTGCAGTAATTTGTTAAAACAGTGACTATTGGCTGTTCAATCAAAAGAGTCAGACATTTATAAAAGATGGCAGGGGGTAATTTATAACCGAAGGAACGTCATAAAGAGTCCAGAGTACAGTTTCAGGACAGAGTGACATGTTTAAATCGATCATTTAAAAATGATTTATTGGAAAGCATATCCCTGCATTAGAATGGTTTAGTCAAGTCAAGACATTAACCTTTTTATAATGACAAAACTTAAATGCTAATGTTCAAAGATGCTTTCATCTGACTGCAGTGGAGCTATTTGGAAAAGAAGTATAAAGTTTTTTGTCTCTTGATGTGCAGAGCTGGTAGAGACATTCGCCGCCTCTATTCTGCTTCTTAAAGTGCTTCTACAGAGTTTAAAAGCAGCTCTAAGAAGTGGTAATTTAATAAGGATCAATGCATTCTCTGTTCTGAGAATGTGCTACTATTTGTTAACCTATCTCACAGTATCCCAGAAGAATACGCTGAATTTTGTGGTTGAAATGGGACTGAATGGAAAAAATGTGAATACCTTGTGAGCACTTGCATAATGAATTATCTTTAACAATTGTGTTTTTTTCTTTGTTTACAGCAAACTCAGTTTGTATTGAACTCTGCCAGGGATAAGAGGGATATGGAGCAAAGGCACTCAGCTATTAAGAAAAAGGTAAAAAAACAAACAAACAAACAAAACACAATTAATAACTAGAAAAAGCTGTTTCGCAGAAACAGCAAAGTGGGAATGCTTTTTTGCTGAATGAAATAATAAAAATTAGCGAAAGAAACTGCGAGAAAGAAAAGAAGCACAAATTAGCTGAGGAACATATGAAAATGTGAGAAGCTGCAAACTGCAGAAAACAATTGAATCATCTGAAGATTTTGTAGGGTTGAATCAATTGGCAGTAAAATGGCAGAAACAAACTCATCTTAAAAGCTGCACAGCCAAACCATACATGATATCAAAAAATGTCTTGAATGTGGGTGCTAGAAGGCTCTTAATATAATGTCTCCCAAGTTTCTAGAAAAATGTATAAAGAAATTTTGAAGGGGGGGCACCTACTGCCCAGAAACATGTCAGGCGTGTTATGAATTAGCAGCAAACAGAAAAGCTTAATTCCTGTCCAGAAAGAGAGCAGAATGAAGCCAAAGTTCACAACATAGGCTGAAAAGTATGAAATTAGTTGAATTAGAAAAGAAATTACAAAGAAAAACTGAATCTTATCTGGTTGAAGAAAAATGAGTAGCTTAAGGATGGTAAGTAAAATGTTGAGGAAGATGGTATTGAATAAGTATCAAAATTTTGAAATTGTGGAAATGTCAAGACTTGGCACAACAAATTGAAATGATTTAAAATGTGTCGGTTGATCACCATAAAGAAAACAGTGTCATCCTTAGAGGATTGAAAATATACAAACCTATGTGCAAGACTGACCATGAGAAGCAGAGGAAGGACAGAGAGAGAAGCTTATAGAAAGAGAGCTAATACCTCTTAAGGAGCTGAATTTATAAAAAAAAATTGAACCTGCATGTTATGAGCCGCTGTGGTGATGAAAGCACGGTTGGCAGGCTTAGGCTGCATATTACGAGGTTAGCAGATGCTTTATTAC